TCCGTTGTGTTCGTGGTTGATCACGGTTCACCTCATATGACTTTCGTGACAAACTTGCAATAGTGGATTGTTAAACCCAATTAATACAGCTTTACAGCTTAAAGCCAACAACTGTTGTCCATTGCTGATATCTCTTGAACAAGGCTACCTACATCATTAACTGAAAAGCTGGTCACCCACACATACTCGTTTTACAGTTTTGATAGTTTTGCTTTTGGAATATTAACAGGTTAATACTAAAAGAGCTCTCGGCATTTTGCGAGACTTATATTCCGAGCTGTTGAGTACTAGAGCAAGTTTATTGCAACTTGTTTCCTCTCACTGTTGAGGATCAACATTGATTGATTTCATCACCCCGGACGAATATGATCCCCTCTTAGAGCGAAAAGTGCCCTAACTACACAAAACTGAATTTCAAAATTATTGATTTGTGCAAAACCCATCAAACAAAATTGCTTCTGGTCGCCGCCAAAGAACTAGGATATGTTTGTATTCAGTTTCTTTTTCGAATTTCCCTTTAAGTTCTTAGCTTCCCCTATGTAGGTAGCTACGTAGATAATGTCAAATAAGACAAATCACGGATAATTCTGAGAATAAGGTTACTTATGATTCAATCGATTCTTTCGGATCCTTTCTGTCTCACACATTGATTTTATTTCGGCAGGGTTATCCACAGAAAGGTCCATGTTAGAATTCTTGAACTCCCTGAATTTGTTTATGTCGGTGAAGTTTCAGCGATAACTTCTGCAGTTCTTTCTGTTATTCATGTCTCTGAAAAATTCGCCGCCATTATGACTGTACTGTTCACGCTCGGCTGCCATCTTGCGCCAAATTCTAACCCTTTTAAGAAATAAGAAAAGAAAACCACCCATCCTGTGGATCGTAAACACTCATGTCATTCTCACCGCAAAATTTCCCTCCAGCTAAACACCTGTGTTCAGTGAGCAGAGTAAAAACCGCAGCCTTTGGTTCGAGATTAAAGTAGTTGTTAATCGGATATTGGCGATATGTCAGAGGAAGAGAACGGGTCGTTTGGAAGAAAGTTCCTTGAAATAGAAGGTTCTGCCTTTTGCTTGCTTTTAATTGCGATAAACGATTGTTTAATTTCTATTTAAGTTCACAAGGAAGTGAGGTATTTGTCGGTGAAAAGTAAAGACGATGTGACATTTTGTGTAACATTTTTCCTTTTTTCCCACAAGTGACAAGATAATGACTCGTTTGCCTAAAGGGGTGTGTTCAGTGGTTGTGCAAGAACATTCTTGTTTATCTAGGAGG